AATATTTCAAGAAATGGACATAATGTTATGAAAAAAACATAATAATTTTAATGTTCTTTTTTAATTCTTATGAAATATTTCATTAGATATAGAGAAGGATTTTGAATGAGTGTAGATTTTAATACTGAATTTATAAAACAAGTTGAACTGTTGATAATAATATTTAAGAGCATAATATTGTTTCATTCAAAGAGTTGAATAAATTTAATATTGAATCTACACATACAATATTCTATTTATCATAAATCTAAAATAAGGAAGGAAATTACAGTTAAAAAGAGTAAAGGTGCCAATAGTATAGCGCTAACAATTAGTGTCAGAGTTTTAACACTATATTTTAAACGCAAATGACGTCACATCAAAGTGTTATTACACTAGTGTAATATCAATTTTATTAAATGGGTTTGTCATGAACAGGTTTAATCAAACTGACCCTGCAACATTTTCAATTTTGCTGTGTTAGGCTTTCTTTATGGATTCTGTTTTTCTCTATTCTATATTTAATTACTCTATGACATAAAGCTTTATACTGTAATGTATTGAATTATATTTGAGCAGGATTTCTATACAAGAACTATATTGCGACTATACATTTCATCATGATATATAATCAAACAGTTTCCGATTACTGTCTATGCTATGTAGGGATAGCCGAAAATAGCAGACTTTGAAGTCAATGTTACCACATAATCAATATGGCCGTTATACAATGCTAAAATCTTTTGCGCAAATTTTTCAGTCTGCAGAAGAAGAAAAATATGATCGTGTCATTAGTAAGATAAAAACGTAGACGCAATAGTCTGCTCCTTTAAGTATAGTATTTATGTAAAAGATTGCAGACGGTCATTTCCGCACAAGATTACTTTTTAAGCTGGGAAAAAGTAGGCTAACTGGAACAGGCACAAGAACAGTTTAGATTCTGTTTAATTAAGTATTCCAATCAAATAAGTTACTCTTACTGCTTTTGATCAAGATTATTATTATATGTGAATATAAAATTGCTGTGAATTTTAATAACTAAGCACTGAATTAACACCAACATAATCGCATAATCGCAATGCCTATGCTTTTCAGTGAAACATCAGCAGATTTGAACATATTCAGATTGAGTATGGTGCTTATTTTTTATCTATTTTTTTGTTGCCAAATTTGAGGGAGAAATTCAGCTTACTGGGTATTGCTGAATTGAAGATTTTTTTTCCTTACATTTTTCATTGCTTTTTTTTTTCTTTCTTTTTTTTTAATATCTGTAAATTGAAGAAAACAAGAGGGCCATGATGGCCCTGAAGTCGCTCACCTGTATATAGGCCCCCGGAGCGGGGCCAGTTTAAACCCCAGGGCTTTTATTTGAACAAACTTGGAAGACACTCATTAGAAGATGTTTCACAATGTTAAGTTTTTACTACACACATGTAATGAAAAACAATGATCTCACCCGCCCCCCCGTTCCCCCTCCCTCCCCTTTCCCCCCCCCCTGGCAGGGCCAATTTTCACCCAAGGGCTTTTTATTTGAACAAACTTTGTAGACATCCATAAGAAGATATTTCATGCTAAACATCTAAGCTCTAGCTCATTGGGTTTTTTAAAAGAAGATTTGTAAGTTTTTACTACACACATATAGTTAAAAACAATGACACCCCTGAGGCGGGGCCAGTTTTGACCCCAGGGCTTTTATTTCAACAAACTTTGTAGATGTTTACTAGAAGATGTTTCATGCTTAAACTCTAGCTATTTAGGTTTTTTCAAAGAAGATTTTTTAAGTTTTTACTATATGCATATAGGGAAAATCAAGACCTTCGGGGCGGGGCCAATTTTGTCCCCAGGGCTTTTATTTGAACAAACTTTGTAGACACTCACTAGAAGATGTTTCATGCTTAATATCTGAACTCTAGCTATTTGGGTTTTTTCAAAGAAGATTATTTAAGTTTTTGCTATACACATATAAGGAAAATCAATGACCCCCGGGGCGGGCCAATTTTGACCCCAGGGCTTTTATTTGAACAAACTTGGTAGACACCCATTAGAAGATGTTTCATGCTAAATATCTTAGCTCTAGCTCTTTGAGTTCTTTCAAAGAAGATTATTCAAGTTTTTACTATATGCATATAGGGAAAAACAATGACCCCCTGGGGCGGGGCCAATTTTGACCCCAGGGCTTTTATTTGAACAAACTTAGTACACACTCATTAGAAGATGTTTCATGCTGAATATCTTAGCTCTAGCTCTTTGGGTTCTTTAAAAGAAGAATTTTTAAGTTTTTACTATATGCATATAGGGAAATCAATGACCCCCTGGGGCGGGCCAATTTTGACCCCAGGGCTTTTATTTGAACAAACTTGGTACACACTCATTAGAAGATGTTTCATGCTGAATATCTTAGCTCTAGCTCTTTGGGTTCTTTAAAAGAAGAATTTTTAAGTTTTTACTATATGCATATAGGGAAAATCAATGACCCCCTGGGGCGGGGCCAATTTTGACCCCAGGGATTTTATTTGAACAAACTTTGTAGACACTCACTAGAAGATGTTTCATGCTAAATATCTAAGCTCTAGGTCTTAGGGTTTTTAAAAGAAGATATTTAAAGTTTTTTCTTTTGGTTGCCATGGCAACCAGAGTTCTGCATGGAATTAAATTCTTTGAACAATTTTTAAAGGTGACCACCAAAGGAACATTCCTGTGAAGTTTGGATGAAATTGGCTTAGTGGTTTATGAGGAGATGTCATTTAAAGTAAAAGTTTACGGACGGACGCCGGACGGACGCCGGACGAAAAGCGATCACAAAAGCTCACCCTGTCACTTTGTGACAGGTGAGCTAAAAATAATCGCAGCCTAATGTCATCTTACTCAAATTCTAAAGAAATTTTCTTCTTCTATTTTGCTATGTTTGTTTATAATTTGTTGTGCTTTTTCTATTCATTTTATTTTTTTAAATATCCATAAAATCAATTGAATAATAAAAAATCACAGACTAATTTCATCCAACTCAAAAAAGTAATGTTGTTTTTTGAGATACACAAATTACGATTATTTTGAGGAATATAAATATAGAATCATATAATGGTTATAAAAGGTTTCTTTAATGTAATAAATCTGTCTCAGAGAGTCACGCCAGTCTATATCCTCTCTGAGACCTTTATGTAAATTAATAAACAAACTATGATGGAAGAAAATCAGAATTCTGTAGTTGATAAAAAATGAAGTGAAAAAAAATTATCCAAATTCAAAATGTTTTCGTCAAATCTGTGTCTAAATCTATTTTAATTTTGAACAATCCAGTTACTTATTATTTGTTTTGCAACAGGCCATTTAAATTGGGAAAATTTAACAAAAGCTTTTAAACCATGATTTACTTTGATTCAAATGTTTGTTGATGAAACATATCAATAATAAAGGAGGTTTTTTCAAGTATTAACTACATGTAGCTTTTTACTTTCCGAAATCAGCAATTTAAGAGATAGTTCTTTCAAAAATCAAAGGGTTAAGGCCTCTACCCAATTAAGAGAAAAAAAAACCTGATCATGATTCTCATAGATATAGATTAATGCCAAAACAGTTTAGCTGGTTTGATAAAATTCACAATTTTAGGATTTTTTTTCTTTTTAATATTCTATTAGAAATTTTCATATGTTTTGTCAATATTCTGCCTGTATTTTACTAAAAATATATCTCTGCAATCCATGTACTAAAGATTATGTAAATATTAGCATAGCTCCTGAGCATGCGGAGCAGGCTTTACATTTAAGTGCTTTTCAAGTGCTTACAAGCCAGGAATGTCAGCATATAGCATAAATTATGAGTTTTAATGAAAATAATCACATTACTACACTACAATTTGTTCTCACGTTGAACACTTGAAATAAAATGAGAATTTGTAATATTACTGGATTTATACTGGAGCAATAACCTTCCCACTCCTCAAACCTTCTTTCACTCCTCAAATCTTTCACAGATATAGAAATCTTTTAACGATTAGGGTTACCTTGTGTGTTTTTATTTTATTTCTTTTTGAAATGTTGATCTTTTTTTTTAAACTGAAAAGTTCGAGATAAGATTGCTTATTTCTTATCAAGGTAGGACTATGTCTAGGCACAACACAATTGTATCTTTTCATCTCACATGTGCACACACTAACATTGTGAAATTTTATTAAAACCAGGAAGTGATCATAAAACATTATCTATTTTAAGCCATTTATGTACACCTAAATTTATACCCTGAAATCATATAAGAGCTTCATCAATATATAGTTAAAAAGCATAACTTTGAAAGAAATTTGTATACCTAAATATATATATATACATGTACTTTATATACTTTTAAATCATCTAAAAGTTTTGTTAATAATTATGATAATTTCAGAATTAAGAAAAATTGTCTTTACTTTGTAGTAGTGTACCTTTCTTTGGATCAATATACTGTTTGCTATTTCTTATTAATACAGATAATCTTATTTTTGGTGATTTCAGGCTTATTAAAATGTTTCAGTGACATTATGTCCATCAAAGAGCACACTGAACAAGTGAAAGTCAAAATTGCATTTCATTTTCCCGTAATTGCTTTCAGTTTTATTATTACCTTCAAAGGAACGATAAATAACTAACCTAAGGAAATGTCTATAAATATATGTAGAGTTTAATTTATAAAAAAGAGTTGGGCAGTCTTTTTAGGCAGATTTATATTTTATTCTTAACATATTCCATTATCAACTGTTGGTGATTCTGTTATATCAGTTTATCTTTTTAAATAGACAGTCAATTCAGCTCAACTTGACAATGAAAGAATGAGCATAATACTGTGTCAAAGTAATCAAAAGATTATTCAGTTGTGCATGTTTTAAAATAATAAAAGTAAATTTATGCAAAATTATGCAGTATGTTAAAGATAACCTATTCATTCACACTTACTCATAGCTATCTATACACAGTCACTAAATATTATAATAAATATCTTCAGCATATTGATAACATTATGATTCATGATTGTATATACAATAACTTTACCATGTAGAGAAGAACTGAATGACCTTTGACTGTACAACAACATCCAAATGATCCAACAAGAACTATGATAGCTCCAACACCAATGAGAATATATGGGGCTTCCTCATAATACACTGTTGACAGCTCCATATAAATATACAGCTCCACCTTTGCCCATATTCCTAGGGCTAATACAGCTATTCCAGAAATCTAAAATAAAAAAAGAAATGAACCGCGTCATAACAAAACCAACATAGTGGGTTTGCGACCAGCATGGATCCAGACCAGCTAGTCCTATAAATATGACGTCGCTTTGAGATATTTTTGCTTCTGGGCAAAGCAACGTCATATCGAAATTGCTCAAAAACCCATAGCATGTTCCGCCAGAAAATCGGGCGGAACGAAAAACAATGAAGACAGCGTGTATTTACATAAGTTTTGACCTATTTATGAACAAAACTAAAAAATAAATACCTTTTGTCAAAATAATTAAACTGTCACATCCGAAAAATCATGAATAAATCCTCTCATGTATTTCAATTCAGCCGATAAAAAAGTGGCGGCCATAAAGTGCGCGAAATCTGATTGGCTAATTCAAATGCAAGCGTTTAACTGAGTCAGAACAATCTAACAGAATATTTTTTTAATGAAATAATATATTTTTCCGTTCAAAAATTTGGAATTAATCTGTAAAGCACCTTGCTTAACCAGTATGGCTGATGGACAAAAATAGATTGATGTTTATATTTTATTTTAAATTGATAAGTACATTGTTTGAGAGTTTTTGTGTATGATTGAGCATGAAATTGAAAGAAAAGAAGATAAGCTTTTGAATAAAGCTTGAAAGGCAAGACAATAGACATTTTTTGAATTTTTTATGATGCTATGCGTTTTGGAGCAATAACTATTAGACGTCAGGCTTGACCGACATAAACTATAACAAGCCTGTAACGTCTAATATATTGGACTATGAGTATGAATATTTATGCTCTGATAAAACTTTGAAACATTGCTTTTAACATAGCATGATGTTTTCAAAAGGTTACTGAACCTGTCAGAGCATAACACTGAACGTCATATATTTCTGTCAACTTGATCTCATCTGTAGAAATTATTTATGCATTCATAATCTTATTCAGTTATTGAAAAAAAAATAATTTGCAGGCTAACACAGTAACAGATTAACTTACCCAAAAAATAAAATTGAATATTGTCAGGATAGTTTTTGTCAGAGCCACAGCTGGTCCAGACGATAATGTTGAACTTATCCTACCTCCAGCCATAATTAAACTCCAATACAAATGCTTAAATCGGTTAAAATATGGTAAAATTCAACAGCTGTCAGCCACTGAATCCAATCTTTGTGTACTGTAATACTAGCACGTCGTGACTACTGGTACGTAATGTTGGGTCCTACTAAACACTGCTAAGGACTGCTAAGGACCGCTAAGGACTGCTAAGGACTGCTAAGGAGCCACAAAGGACTACTAAAGAGGGCCAAAGGACCTTAAAATACCTCCTAGGCCATTCTTACATTACATGGTATTATTTTTAGTGAAAAAAAAAAAAAAATTTTAAGAAAAAATATGATTTTGGTGAAAATTTTATGAGTTGTCGGACCGCTAAGGACTGCTCAGATACATACAAAAGACTGCTAAGGAGGCACAAAGGACCTTAAAAATACCTCCTAGGGCATTCTTATAATACAAGGTATGTATGTTTAGTGACAAAAAATGTATTATTTTAAAGAAAAAATATCATTTTAGTGATAAAATTTATGTTTTTTGAAGAGTTGTCGGAACCGCTAAGGACTGCTCAGGTGCAACTAACAACTGCTAAGGAGGCACAAAGGACCTTAAATTACTTCCTAGGGGCATTTTTATAATTATATAGTAGTAAGTTAATAGATAAAAAATGTATTTTTGTAAGAAAAAAATATAATTTTGGTGATAGAATTTTATGTTTTTGATGAGTTGCGGACCCCTAAGGACTGCTCAGGTGCGAAAAGGACTGCTAGGGACCTTAAAAATATTTCCTAAGGAGGCACAAAATGACGCTTAAAATACCTGTAAGGGCATTCTTATAATACATGGTAATATGTTTTAGTGATAAAAATGTATAATTTTAAGGATAAATATCATTATAGTGATAAAATTTATGTTTTTGAAGAGTTGTCGGACCGTTTAAGGAATGCTCAGGTGCACTAACAACTGCTAGGGAGGCACAAAGGACCTTCAAATCCCTCCTATGAACATTTTTTATCATATATGGTAGTAAGTGAATAGACAAAAATGTATTATTGTAAGAAAAAAATATAATTTTGGTGATAGAATTTATGCTTTCGATGAGTTGCCGGACCGCTTACGCCCCGCGCTAAGGACTGCTCAGGTGCGTAAAGGACTGTTAGGCAGGCACAAAGACCTATAAATATTTCCGAGGGAGGCACAGAGGACCTTAAAATAACTGTTGGGGCATTCTTATAATTTCAATGGTAGTATGTTTAGTGACAAAAATGTATAATTTTAAGAAAAAAATATCATTATAGTGATAAAATTCATGTTTTTTGAAGAGTTGTCGGACCGCTAAGGACTGCTCAGATGCACTCACAACTGCTAGGGAGGTACAAAGGACCTTCAAATCCCTCCTAGAACATTCTTATAATATATGGTAGTAAGTTAATAGACAAAAGTGTATTATTGTAAGAAAAAAATATAATTTTGGTGATAGAATTTATGCTTTCGATGAGTTGCAGGACCGCTAAGGACTGCTCAGGTGCGAAAAGGACTGCTAGGCAGGCACAAAGACCTATAAATATTTCCTAGGGAGGCACAAAGGACCTTAAAATAACTGTTGGGGGCATTCTTATAATTCCATGGTAGTATGTTTAGTGACAAAAAATGTATAATTTTATGAAAAAAATATCATTATAGTGATAAAATTCATGTTTTTTGAAGCGTTGTCGGACCGCTAAGGACTGCTCAGATACACAAAAGACTGCTAAGGAGGCACAAAGGACCTTAAAATACCTCCTAGGGCATTCTTATAATACAAGGTAGTATGTTTAGTGACAAAAATGTATTATTGTAAGAAAAAATATCATTATAGTGATAAAATTCATGTTTTTGAAGAGTTGTCGGACCGCTAAGGAATGATGACATTATAATAGCATAATACAAGACAAAGAACAGTGGAAATGTCGACAATACTTAACATAAATATGGATTACTTAACATAGCATGATGTAATAGTGGAGAAAGTCATAATGACAAACTCTTCAAGTATAAATACATAAATGTTGTGTTTAACTGACATATATATGTATAGTATCACATGATACACATGTAAACCAAAACATATACTGGATAAATGTTTAAAGTTTTAAACATATGTGAAATTACATATATTTAACAAATAATAGATTATATATTTAAATGTACTGGATATATCCATGATTCTTGCCATATTTTAAAACAAGAAATGTAGAATATAATTAATGCATATTTGATATATATATAAATTTTGGTAATAACATAAACATAATGCAACTTAACAATTATGTCTACTAATTATTTGTGTATTATCTTTCTTTTCTTTTAAATTATCTAATTGAGGCCATGTGCATACATTTTCAAATTTAATAATTCTATGTATTTTGGCATATTTGGACCTCTCCAATAATATGCTGGTACTATGAAATTCTATTTGTCTTGTAAGATGTAATTAGAAAAACATTTTCCATTCCATTAAACATCATATACATATACAAATACAAATTTAAAAATCAATTGCAAGGTTTCTTTTTGTTCAAAGGATAAATTCAGGCTTTATCATAACATGTGTACACAAACACACATTCAAACATCAAGTTACAGGCACATAACAAGAAAGCTATATACAAACACACTAACACATATTATGACAAATCAAATTCAGGTTTTCATATAACCTCCTAATTCATCATATGTTTAAGATAAGATAAAACTTTCATACAGTTCTATCATATTCATAAAAACTGATATTTTTTACATATCGGAGACAGTGAACTGAGTGAGGCTTGGCTAATTAAACTCCTGACACTGTAAAGGAAAACAAAGCTAAGAAAAAATTCAAGGTGAAATAAATGTAAAAAATATTCATGCTTGAGTAATGAATGTTGTCTGACATCATAATGGGGTTAATAAATAATAAATATATGAAGTTCGATGTAGAAACTATTAGAAATGAAGAGGTTATTGCAAAAAACATTTTCTAAGTGCAAGGGGGACAATTTAGGGGGGAAATGAGTGCTAAATATGAGTTATCAATAGTCAGTCAAATATCATGTGGGTAATGATAAGAAACATATATTTGAAGTGTGAAAAAATACCTTAAGAAAAAAAGAAGTTATAGTAAAAAATTACACTTTTAAAGAAAGATATCTAAGTTCATGAGGAGATAATTCTTGAAATATTGATGCTTGAGTTGAAAACATTATCATCATAACAATAATAAGGAAAATATATTTGAAGTTTGAAGGTGATCCCTTAAAAAATTAAGAAGTAAATAATAAGTTCCAGGGGTGATTATTCTGTAAACATGGCTTCAAAAGTTATGACCCTTGTCACATAAGATGTAGTTGATGGTTATAATCATATACTTGAAGTTTGAAGTTGTACTTTAAAAATGAAAAAGTTATAGTAAAAGAACAGGTAAAATAGGGAACAATCCATATACAAACAAATCCATTCAATTTTCCCCACAAATCAAAATATCAAATTACAAGTCAAATCAAAACATCTATATACAAGTTCCAAACACATAAAAACATCTATATACAAACATATACCTTGACAAAATTAATGAAAGCTAATATATAGATGAATACACACAAATCAAATAATATTGCAAGTCTTAAAGACATATCAAAACATCTGTATTGATATACAGACATATCATGACAGAATAAAAGAAAAAAAGTTTTTATACGAATGTACAAGCACATATCAAATAGTGGATATAAAAAATATCATGGTGAATCACATACCATCTTTCTTATATGCCTAAATCATTGATCTAGGCTAGCATGCATATCTGTGCAGTCTGACAGATCAAATCTTTCAAAAGCTACAATAATTCATTGTAATACAAGCACATTTCATTGTATCAAATTTTAAACACATAGCAAAACATCTATATATAAACATATATTATTACAAAATAAATGCAAGTACACATATTTATGTTTAAGCACATATCAATTATGAAGCCGGTCTCATATCATAACTAATATATACAAAGACATACCCTGACAAAACAAATGCAAGTATATATACTTATGTTTAAGCACATAACAATTATCGAGCTGGTCTTAAACACACATCATAACATCTACATACAAAGACATACCCTGACAAAACAAATGCAAATATATATACTTATGTTTAAGCTCATATCAATTATCAAGCTGGTCTTAAACACACATCATAACATCTATATACAAAGACATACCCTGACAAAAAAGCAAGTATACATATTTATGTTTAAGCACATATCAATTATCAAGCTGGTCTTAAACACACATCATAACATCTATATACAAAGACATACCCTGACAAAAAAGCAAGTATACATATTTATGTTTAAGCACATATCAATTATCAAGCCGGTCTCTAACACACATCATAATATCTATATACAAAGACATACCCTGGCAAAAATGCAAGTATACATATTTATGTTTAAGCACATATCAATTATCAAGCCGGTCTCTAACACACATCATAATATCTATATACAAAGACATACCCTGACAAAAATGCAAGTATACATATTTATATTTAAGCACATATCAATTATCAAGCTGGTCTTAAACACACATCATAACATCTATATACAAAGACATACCCTTACAAAAATGCAAGTATACATATTGATGTTTAAGCACATATCAATTATCAAGCTGGTCTTAAACACACATCATAACATCTATATACAAAGACATACCCTGACAAAAAAGCAAGTATACATATTTATGTTTAAGCACATATCAATTATCAAGCTGGTCTTAAACACACATCATAATATCTATATACAAAGACATACCCTGACAAAAAAGCAAGTATACATATTTATGTTTAAGCACATATCAATTATCAAGCTGGTCTTAAACACACATCATAACATCTATATACAAAGACATACCCTGACAAAAAAGCAAGTATACATATTTATGTTTAAGCATATATCAATTATCAAGCCGGTCTCTAACACACATCATAACATCTATATACAAAGACATACCCTGACAAAAATGCAAATACACATATTTATGTTTAAGCACATATCAATTATCAAGCCGGACTTAAACACACATCATAACATCTATATACAAAGACAGTACCCTGACAAAAA